TTCCTAGTTTTGTGAGGGCATGTTAGACGGCAACAACTGTCACAACCCCTGTCATCAACACAAACACCCCTGGGCAGCTGGTGAGCCCTGGCACTCAGGGCCTGGTCTCTGAGCCCTCCCAGTGAACTTTCCTGGGTACAGACATTGGATTGCAAGGCCCCTTTTGTTGCCCATGTTCTTGCTGCCCAAATGCCATGGGCAGATGTCATCTACTCCTGCCTGGTCGGTGATACTGGGTACACGCATGTATGTAAGGAGCATCAGTCCCTGGTCTGAGACCCTGGCCCCCAAACTGACTTGTTCAGTAGAAAAGAGCCACTTCTTTCTGCTCAGTAACAATAGAGAAAAGTAGTATCAGTAATACTATTATCTGCAATACTGGACTGAGTGGGAAAGTTCAGAGAAAGTAAGTTTCTGCCCGGGCCATCCCAAGATAAACAATGAGCCCCTGCAAATGTTATCACTAAGACAGCTCAGACCAGGGCCTGGTAGGAAAGAAAGTAGGTTACCCTGAAAATGCTTTCATTCCAGGATTCTTCTCAACCTCTCCCATTCTAGACACCAGACCTGGCCCTCAGCCGCGGAGATGCAAAGATGAGTAAGGCTGCTCTGAAAGAACTCTGAGCCAAGCGAGTGAACACACACACCAAACACACACACGTGAGCCGCTTGTTATGAATCATAACAGAGGAAGAACCCTGGCACGGATTAGGTAAGACCAGAACGTAACAGGTTTTCCATTTGTTCAAACATGACAGAGTCTGTGTGTACAAATGAGTAATTTTCACTAAAAACTTTCACCTTGGGACGCCATCCTGTTTTCAGCACTGCTGCCCCTTCCTAACTTCTCTTCTGGAAAGACATCAAATAAAGGCCCATACAAGAGAATGCCTCACTCCCAACAGACAAAGATGGGACCACCCTGCCTGCCTTTCCAACAAACTTGGTAGTAAGGACCTGTTTGCTCTTTCAAGAAAAAAAAAAAATCAAACCCCTCTTTCAATTAATAAAGGCCCCGCTGCCTTTGAGGATATTGAAAAACATTTGTAAGCCTTTGAATGCAATTAAATTCTAACCCTTCTGTCCGCATTGTTAGAATGTGAGTCCTACCAGGGTGATTTCTCTGAGTGGGCAATTCTCACTTGAGTTTCATACAAGTTCTACTGGTTCTACTGGTTCAGGGGTTAGGGGCTGTCTGTGTAATTGCTTCATGCTACGGATACAATGTTGATGCTTGTAGTTCATTTTCCTCAACTTCAGAAATCCAAGCCCCTGAGATCAAACGGCCTTCCAGTTCTGGATGTGGTGAATGCCCTAGAAGCAGGGAGGCTCGTGGGCGTCGCAGGGAGTTTGGAGTGCCCTACACCACGGTCCCCATCAGAGTCTCTATGAGGGACAGCGTGTGGAAGGTTCGGGTAGCGGAGTCAACTTTTTGGTGTCTCTGGGCCACACTGGAAGAAGAAGAGCTACCTAGTGCCATCCATTAACTATATTGTGACACAAAAATCACCAAAAAAACTCATGTTTTAAGTAAATTTACAATTTTGTGTTGGGCCGCATTCATAGCCATCCTGGGCTGCACGCGGCCCGCGGGCCACAGGTTGGACACCCCCGTGAAATGCTTTAAAAGGAAGCTTAGGTCAACGTGAAGAGAGGTCCATATTTCCCTCGCTGCTTTAATGTCCAAGTGCTTTCAACCTGTCCTTAATAGTGAGAAATACTCTCTGTGACCTACGTCTCGGGAGCTGGCTGCGCTCTGGCTTCAGCACCCAGTAACACCCCCCGCCCCCCCACCTTTTCCCGCATGGTCTGTTCCACAGCCAAACGCTTGGGAGCTGCTCCAAGGTAAGCTTCCTGGGCACAAACTGTGTGTGTCTAACAAAACAAGGTGTCACTAACACCTGCAGCTCTACCTGCTTACCTCTGATTAACCTTATCCAGGTACAGGGCTTTAGTATGCCTTAAGAGAACCCGAAGAACCCAAAGAACCCTTGTAGGCTCTGGGGTCAAACATGCAACACGGAACCAGGAACTTGGAGGCTGGTGGGGGTGGGATGGATCCAAGGAAAGTTTCTGACCCGTACAAACATTCTGCTGGTTTATGGAGCCACTGCAGATTTCCAAGGCTCCACGGGCTCAAATATTCATCAACGACACTCACTCCAGCAAATTCCTTTTGTGGTCCACAGACATTTAACTTCAGATCCGTGGCTCAGCCCATGTGTGCGCGCGCATGTGTCCGGTGGCGGTGGTGGCGCAGGCAAATGACCACAGCAAGTGAGCTGGAGTCATCGGGGTGGAGATGATTCAAATTGATTGCGATCCTTTTCCTCCAGGGGCGAGCATTGCAGTGCCATGTCCAGCAAGAGTGACCCCTGGACACCTACTTCTGCAGCTCCTGACACCTCCAGTGAACGAGTGCGGGCACCCATGCTGCCTCTATCCCCAGACCCCCATTTAAAGATGGACACCAAACCCAAACTCAAGAGAAGTATGCCTGAATAGAAGCATCACTTTTTTTTTTGCCAGATCCCAAGGTCTAAAAAGGTGAGGAAGTCACGTTCTACTAATTCAAAGTACAGTAGTGCCCCCTTATCCACGGGGGACACATTCCAAGACCCTAGTGGAGAATGAAACATGACAGTACCGAACCCTGCGTGACTAACAGGTGGAGAGCATATTCAGCGTGCATCTGCTGGACAAAGGGATGACTCACTCCCCAGGTGGGACAGAGAAGGATGTCATACGATTTCACCATGGTCAGAATAATGTGCAATTGAAAACTTATGAATTATTTATTTCTGGAACTTTCCACTAAATCTTTTTGGACCATGGATAACTGAAATGGAGGAAAGGGAAACCATGGGTAAGCAGGGACCTACCATGTTCAAGTGTGATATTTAAACCAATCACTGGGAGCTAGTTGGAAATGCAGAATCTCAGGCCCCACCCCAGAGCCTACAGAATCAGCATCTGCATTTAAAGGAGGTCCCCAGGTAGTTCACAGGCACACTGAAGACTGAGAAACAGCACTTTGGACCGGAGAAAATGGGCACCAGCATGACCTTTCCTCATTAGGTCAAGCTTTTCTGCCCTGGCAAGGGGGCAGGATCAGGTGTGTCTGGGAGGAAGATTTCACACCTTGGCTGACTGAGGCAGAGGCAAGCCAGGGCTCCCTGGTTATAGACCAGGAGCTGTGCCTGCCGCACTGGACACCCCTGACAAGAAAGACCTGGCTTCAGGCTCCTGGCGCTGCTAGCTTTCTCCCAGTTGGCCTCAGAAACTAAGTTGCACTCGGATGCAGAAGCCCCTCTCTCCCACCTAAAGGCCCTCAAAGAGGGTTTGCTGTGGTCTGACAGAAAACACCCACTTCCCAGTCCAGAGTGAGAAGTGGAGAGGTCGCTACATAAACGGTGCCGCTGGGTGTTGCTTCCAATCTGATCTGTCCCCATCCAGCAACAAAAAGGGCATCTGGAACCTTCGGGACTGCCCCAGTGCCCTCCCTGAAGAGGCCAGCAGATTCACTCCCTTGCTTGAAGAAACTCCCCCCAACTGTTGAGAAAGATCCACAAAGACACATCAGGACACAGAAAAAGCAGGGCAGCGTGGACGACATAAAGGTCGGCCAGGAAAGAGAATTGGAGTCAAAAGCGGCAGGAAGCCTCCCTGGCAACTTTTCCTTGGTAATTTTTAACAGGAGAGACAACAGTTGCCCCCTCTATGCTTGGTTGCTGCTTCTTGCCCCACTCGAGACATTAGACGACGGACACCAATGTTTAAGCTTTGGGGCCTCAGAGCCATATTCCGTAGGGGAAGGCAGCACGGCTGGACGAGGATCCCCTCGCAAGTCCAACGTTGTATGTTTTGGATCAAACAGCCCAAGACCTCGGATCTGGCTGTGCTCGCTGGTGGTGGGACAGCTGCCTGAGAAAACAAGTATGTGGCCCGGGACGTTGGCAAGAGATGAGGCTGCACTGCGCCCGCCCCGCCCGCGTCTGCCCGCACCCTCGTCTCAGCGCAGCGCCAGGATCCGTGGCCGTTTTTTGAGTAGTTTGAGCAGGAGCAGTAGAGGAGGGTGTAGGGGAGGGAAGAAGGGCAAAAAGGGGTGAGGTCAGGGCGAGGATGGGAGGGCCGTGGTGAGCCACGAGGAGGATTTCATTATGCAAACAGGCGGGCAGGTTTCATCAGCGCTCGTGCGCGGGGGATCCGGGGCTGGGAGGTAATGCCTGGCTCCCGAGGGCAGCCCAAGTCTGGCCCCAGCCCGTGCCAGCTCAGCTTCCTCTTCCTCATCCACTCCTAGGGAGGTCACACGGGGGGCCCCCTCCCTCCCGGACAGAGGAGCGTGTTTTTCTGCACGGCCCTTCCCGAAGCCCCAGGTCCCTGCTCGGAGTTTCCACACCGTCAAACGGCAATCTGCCACAGGTGCCGGCGACGCGCTGCCGGAGCAGGCGAGCACCCTCAGCCCAAAGCTTCCGTCAGAGGGTGCTTGCAGGAGGCAAAACTGGGGGTATCTCCGGAAGGAAAAAAGCGCTCCGCAAGAGTCATTTATCCCAACGGAGGACGCCCGTCCCATCCCAACAAAACCCCAGGCCAGTCCTCTCCTTGATCGGTGGGCACCTTGCCCCCACTGTATTCCGCCTCATGAGTGCCCCCAACACTCACAAGGGGCAGCACGCCTCGGCGAGTGGCAGTCCTGGAAGCGTGCCTTTCTGTTTGCGTGGGGGACACTCGGCTGTCGCTCCCAGAAGCAGGAAACTAATGGGACAGTTTGCAACCCCAGCTCTGGAGGACGCACCCAGAAGGCAGGCAACGGGACGTGGCCACTCGCTCGTTCCCTGTGGCCACCTCCGCTGCCTCCCTGATGCCCCTTTCCGGTTCTTCCCAGTCACCGCGACCCTGGGTCTGGTCGCCCCGTCCATGGGACGGTTCCCAATCCCGCCTGCTCTGCCCATTCCGTCCTCTCCACCGCCCGCACCCGGACCCCGCGAGCCCGTGCCTACCTCCCGGCGTAGTGCTGAAGAGCGTGCCGCCGGGGGTGGTGCTGTAGTCCCCGGGGGGCAGCTGCACACCGTCGCTGAGGACCACCCGATGAGTGGCGGGGATGGCCCGGCTTGGGGTCTGGCTGCAGCTGCTGCCCCCGGACATGGTCTCCCGCGCACTGTGCCAGCAGCCAGAGCGTGGCCCTCCTACGGCTCCAGCCTCGCCCCGCCTACTTCGGTCCAGCCCCGCCCAAGGCAGTCCCTTCCGCCTGGTTCACTCAAGTCCCCTGGGATTTGTAGTTCCAGCCCTCCCGCAGCCCCACCAGCTGCCCAGCTGCTCCCTGCACTTGGGTTCCTCCTTACCCCATGATGGGAGGCCCCCTACCGACCGTCGCCTGCCCGCGGGTGCTGCGTCGACCCCTTTTTTCCTTCCACTTTCGCTCCTGGGTCCCTCCCAACTTCGCCAGCAGGGATGGGGTGGGCGTGGGGGGTTCGGGAGGCTGGCCTAGGTTAGTGCATTCCTGGGTCAGGGTTGTGTCTCCCCGCTCTGCGGGGATCCTAGCCGACCCGGGTCACTCTGGGAGGCCTGCATGACATCAGGCAGCTCAGCCCGTCCTGTTCTGTTCGTTAGTTCCTCGCATTAGAAAGTGGGGATTCACTAGGCATTCACCCCTCCTTGGTTTACTGAGCATTCACCATGTGGCAGGCTTTGAAGAAATGGCTGAGATGCTCCCTCCAGGGCTTTGGAGAGGGTGTGGGAGAAGCGCGTGTAAACGAACTACCCAGCTGTGTGATAAGGCTAAACCTAGAGGGAGGTGGAGGTTGGGGTAGGGGGAGGGGTAAGAGTTGATCAAAGAAGCTTCTTTGTAGCCCTTTGAGTTGGGTCCAAGGCCCCGCAGGCTGCCTGACATGCCTGACATTTCGTAGGCAGTCCTTGAATGGATGGAGGCATGCATCTTCAAGGAGATCCCTAAGTGGAGAGAGAAAAATGCAAGGACAACGGAAAAGCCTGTTGGGTGAGAGAACAGTTGCTGTCATTGTGGCCACAACTTGCAAAGAGAGAGGAGAGAACAGTGTAAAAGGGTAATTGGGCCCAGATCGTGAAGGATCTTTCAAATTATGCTGAGGCGTCCAGCCTTTGTCCCACAAGGGCAGGAGATAACGGAGGCCTTCTCAGCTGGGGAATGACGTGATTTAATGTTGTTTAGAAAGATAACTGGTGGCTCTGGAGTTAGAATGGACCGCAGGAGGGTGAGGCCTGAGGGAGGTCACTCCTGAGTTCAACTCTAGGCCTACACTGTCTCGTAAGGTAGCCACTGGGCACGTGTGCTTGCGAAGCGCTTGACGTATTAGGGTAGTCCACACTCACAATGTAAAATGCACACTGCACTTCAAAGAACTAGTGTAAAAAATGGTGTAAAAGACCTCAGTATGTTTTTATATCGATGACATGTTGAAATAAATATTTGGAACATGTTGGGTTAAGTGAAATCCATTGTTTGAATTAATTTCACCTGTTTCTTTTTACTCTTTTTAGTGGGACTATAAGTATTTTTTTATATATACACATATACATAGGGCTTATAATATATTTCTATTGGATAGTGCTGCTCTAGAATGAGGCAATATGAAAGCAAGCCCAAGGTTCTCAGAACTTTTCTCCAAGAAAACTATGGACTCATCAAAGGTTAGCTCTGTCCAGGTACCTTATTGCTCATTCAGGACAATATTCACCTCCATTTTATTAAACAATGAACAAAAACCAAAACCCAAGGCCCAAGAGGAGCAGGGGTGTGTCCAGGAATGTCCAGCTGTGAAAAGCTGGTGCAGGACTAGAACCCAGTGCCACTGGCCGGCCAGGCCGGTCCTTTTCCTCACCACACTGGAAAGCAAAGCGGCCCATTCCCCTCTCCTGGGAGGAACTGTTCTGAAAGGGGGTTTGCTCTGGTGCCACCTTGGACGTGCATATCTGGTTAGTGCAGACTATAGGGAGAGGGCTGCTTTGAAAGCTGACAGTAGGAATGGCAGGGGTGATGGGTGTGGGTTCTAGCCGAAACGCTGCTGCTAAATAGCTGTTGCCCTCGGACAAGTCCCTTTCCGGCCTCAGTGTCACCATCCGCCAGATGAGGGATGAGAAGGGCAGATTCGAAGGTATCCGAGAACCCTCGGCAATGACATTTTATTTTATTTTTCTTTCAGAGTTGAACATTTTATTGGTTGCCTTGAAATGGGGACGCTTTATGTCTTTGACAAACTCATTCTGAATTCTGTTTCCTGCCCAGCCAGGTTGCCTGTAGTGGTTTCTACCTCTTTATAGAGCAGGGACTCATTCATATCAAGTCATGTAATCATGGACCAGTTCCTATCAGGCGGGGACACCACGAGAGCTGTCTTTTAGCAAGATGAGTGGCGGCACCAACGGCAGGTGTTGACTCAAGCTCACTGGGGACAGCACTTGCCTTGCAGAGGCCACCGACACCACGTTGGGGTGCTCAGTGGCCCAAACCCAGAATTGTTCATTTCTGTCTTCCCTTCAGGCTCTTTTTAAACCCATTAGCTTCTGACCGTTGTAACACTTCTCGCTGGAGGTCAAAAGAACAAAAGCAGAATGTTTTCTAGAAGAAAGATAAGGAGGGGGACGCAGAGGGAACAGTTTCCATCCTATCTTGCTCTACTGGAGCAAGACAGGCTGGGACAAGGGGCTGATTTTTATCATTTCAAGTGGAGTTTATCTGGGTAGCCACCAGGCATACAGGCCCAGTCCCGGCATCTAACGCTTTGTGAGGTAAAAATACATACATACATACATAAATATATATATATAAAACCAACAGAAACTGAGAGCAGCCGTGAGCAGGCACTGGTCCTCCCTGGTGTTCAGCTGAGCTGGAAGGGTCGGGTGCGGGGAAGGAGTGCCGGGAGAGGGTCCCCGGGAGCGGCTGCCCGGGAAGGCAGGAGCAGGAACCACAGGAGGCAGAAGTGCTTCCAGCTTCACTGAGTCAGACTACAGCGGAGGCTGACTTCCGAAACCCCTCCGGCTAGGGAGGGGCTGGGTGGCGAGGCAGCGGGAGAGAAGTGACCTTTTGTGTGTGTGTGTGTCTTAATCCTTCCTGACGTTATTGGGTGCTAACCCTGCAGCACCGGGAGTCCTTCACCGGAGCTAGCACTGCTGCTGTCGAGCGCCCCGGCCCTTGGAGGCTCCTGTACTTTCTTATACGACAAGGGCTCTTCTACGCCTCCTGCCCCAAATGTAGATTCAGCCTTTCTCTGCAGCTCTGGTTTCCATTCCAGATGGATTCGCAGTATCGCTTCACCCGCAGGCACGCAAGCCTGGTCTTTCTGGTAGGAAATGCTTTGCGAGGTTAATGGATATGATTGGAATGAAGACTGCCCTGAGCAGGCCTGGAGGGGCCTGCTGGGCGTGGTGGTCCTCGTCCATCCTGATCCTGGTTAATGTGTGTGTCTCCACGTGCTCTCCCTGTGGTATTCGGTCTACTTAGATAGCCCCGCTGGCAAACCCGAGGTGTGGGCTGAAGAATATCTCCTCTCTGTACCTTCAGGCGTCTCAACATTCAGCCCCTTGGTGCTCACCAGCAGCGACACCATGCTTCTCAGCTCTGCTTTGCCTACTCTGAACTCAAGGGGAAGGCTATTTTCTCACAGCAAGAGCTATTCCTTTTCAACCCTAATTTGTTATTCTCTAGTCAGTGGAGAATGTGCTTGTTTTCCTTACATGCCTTTTTTAAATGACTGAATCTTGGTCTGAGGCAGAAAGTATAGGAAGCTCTTATGGTACAAAAAAAAAGCACAGGAGGAAACAAAAAAAGCACAGGAGCCTCTAAAGGTCATGCAGCTGTGACAACAGGGTGTATGAGTGAGTGTGAAGGATTCCCAATGGCGGATTCAACGTTTTACTATGGCTCCTGGGCTCAAGGGTTTATAAAGCATTTTAATGACTCAGAGTTGGGTCTGCAGTCTTTCCCTGGACCTCCAGAGCAGGTTCTTAGGCCAAATTTCTTGTGAATCATCTTCTTCACATTGCAGGAATAACACAATGACGCTGGAGAGTAGAGGGAGAGCCCATGATACGTTCATCTGGAGTTGCCCTTCTGCGGACGGCCCTGGGTGTGTCTACCTGAGATGTCTTAGATGGTATTGTGTGCTGGCCAGGAGAGTGAAACAGCAAAGGGATCCTTCGGTGGCAACAAACAACAGTAGCACTGTAGTCACCAGGAACCAGCAGGAGGCCAGCTTCTTGGACCTAACCAGCCTTCATGGATGGTTAGTCAGTGTCACTCAAACTGGGACATTTGAGGAGGTTTCATAAAGGGACGATTTATAAAGGTATGAACTAGATAGGGGTAGGGAAACCTTGGTACTTGGGGAAGCAGCAAGGGAAAGCATAATTACTGGAGTGGGAGTGGGGAGGAGAGAGGGGGTGAGAGTGTGTGAACAGGAGAAGTGTGTGGAGAGGCACCATATGGAGCTGCCACCTTCAGTCCTGGCTGGCACAGGGTGGGAGCAGGAAGTGGGAACTCGTGCCTTGCTGGCCTCCTGCCCTCTGCTCTCCTGCCCTGTTCCCTGGTGGTCTGATCCAGCTGGAGGACAAAGCACAAGGCAGCCCTACAGACCAACTTCCCGGGGCACAGAGCAGGGCAGAAAAGGGTAGAGAGTGAATCGAAGTGGGCAACAGAAGATTCCAGCACAGTGGAGTATAGGAGAGATCAGGAGGGGTGTATGAGAGTGTCCAGAGCAAATTGTAGTCCTGAGCCAATCCACACATGCGCAGGTAGTGTTCTGAGGCATTCTTCTTGCTTTGGGGTTAGGGCTGGGACCCGTGTCCACAATCCCCTAACACATAATGGGAGTCATCAAGGTCCTCAGTCCCCAAATGTTCTTCCCCACCCCCAAACCTCAACACTCTACCACTCACAGGTTGATCCCATTTTAACTTCTTTCTTTGAACTAAAAGGCTCTGCTAACTTTACATTGTCTTTGGCATTCATGACCCAACAAGGAAGGAAGAAAGGAAACAAACACTTCCTGAGTCCCTGCTCTGTGCCTGCACCCTGTGTAAGAGGTTTGACTGACAGAATCACTTAAATTGCACCACAGCCTTCTAAGGCAAGTATTACTATCTGCATTTCACACACAAAGAAAATGAGGTGTGGGGGTGGGGGTTAGCCTGCCCATATTCAGAGCTCCAACTTAAATATTTTTATAACTTGCTTAGTC